TCCTTCTCAGGATTGCCTTGGCTATTCGGGCTCTTTGGTGGTTCCATATGAATTTTAGAACTATTAGTTCCAGTTTGTTGAAGAATGCTGTAGGTATTTTGATATGGATTCCATTGAATCTGTAGATTGCTTTAAGCAGGATTCTTGCTTTAGGCCATTTTCACTATATTAATTCTTCCTAGCCAAGAGCATGGGATGAGTTTCCATTTGTTAGTGTCCTCTTTAATTTCTCTGAGGAGTGTCTTGTAGTTTTCAGGGTATAGGTCTTTCACTTCCTTGGTTAGGTTTATTCCTAGGTATTTTATTCTTTTTGATGCAATTGTGAATGGAATTGTTATCCTGATTTCTCTTTCTGCTAGTTCATCATTAGTGTATAGGAAAGCAACAGATTTCTGTGTATTAATTTTGTATACTGCAGCTTTGCTGAATTCAGATATTAGTTCTAGTAGTTTTGGAGTGGAGTCTTTAGGGTTTTGTATGCACACATTGTTTTTTTCGTATGAAACCTTCATAAGAGTGTATATCAATAATACCTTAATAAAAATAAAAAGATAGTATAGTCATGGTTTCCAACCATCAGGCATTAAAACTAGAAATTAACACTAAGCAGATAACAAAATCCAACCACTTGAACATACTAAAGGTGTTGTAAATAACATTTAGCTTCAAAAGGAAATTCGAGATTATTCTGTGATGAGAATCCCACCATCATCACTACATCTTGTAGTTATATCATCATGGCCATAGCTATGATCTCAGAAGAATTCATAGCCCTATGTTCTTTCATAATTAAGTCAGAAGTATTACAATACAAACAAAACATTCAATTCTAGAAAACAAGAAAAGAATAACAAATTAAAAGTAACCACTAATGATGAAAATAGAAAAAATACATTAGAAAACAAAACAGAGTGACAGCAATAACTAAAATCAAATTGATAAATCAAAACTGGTTCTTTGAGAAGACCAAATAAATAGACAAGTATGATTGAAAAAGATAATGTAAATCAACAATATCAGGAATGAGACAATCTTTTTTTAAAAAATATAAAAGATTTTTGTAACAATTTTATGCTGGTAAACTTTAAAGTCGAGATAAAATAGACGTACATGTAAATTAGTACTACTAATGCAAGAGGAAGTCCAAAATCTGGGACAAGAAATCTGGTAACTATAACATATATTAGATAAAAGTAAGATACTAATAAATTGCAAAAAAGTAAAAAATATACCTCCCCAAAAATGGTTCCAATTCAGATGATTTTACAGAAAAGTTTTTACCAACATTCAAAAAGAAAATACTTCCTATTTAAAGTATGTTATAATACAAGAGAAAAGGTCAAGATTCTCAATAAATTTTATCAAATAAACGTAACTCTGATACCCAAACTTGGAAAAACACAAGAACAAAGAATTATGGAAAAACATGTTCATAAATATAGATGTAAAAATTCTAACTAAATTTGGCCACTGATCCAAATACATATTTTTTAAAATAATATACCATCATGAAGTTTGCATGTTACAGAAATTCAAGTTACTTTAGCCTTAGTAGGGAAAATATGCTATCCAGATAGATGCTAAGAAATATAATATTTACTAAAATACAGAAGCTTTCTAAATATCAGCATGATAAAAAGCATCCACAAGAAACCAAATTAAACTTAGATTTAAAGATGAAATGGTAGAGCTATACCAATTAGAGTCAGAAACCAGGTAAGTATTCCTTCTTTTTTCACAGATTTACTTATTCAGTACTATTTGCCCTTATTAGCCGACATGAAATAAGAAAGTGAAATGAGGTGTAAATATTCCAAAGACAGAGCGAAATTGTTTTTATTTGCAAATAATAAGCATGTCCACCTAAAAAAAATCTAATGGAAACCACTGAAAAAACATTAGAATTCAGTAGAGTGAAATACAATATAATATAGAGAAATCAATAACTTTTCTACATATTATCAATAAATAAAAAATGTAATGGAGCAAAAAGAGCCCATTTACATTAGTAACAAAAACTATAAAACAAGAGTGAGCTTACAGAAAATACATAATACCAATCTGGAAACAAAATAAAAACTTCCCTTATATAAAATATGAGAGATCTGAATAAAAGGAAAACTGTTCAGCATTCCTACACAAGGATATCCCAGACTGTAAAAATGTCAATTCCCTCAAAATTAATAGAAATATTTAAAGAAATTCCAATACAAATCCCAGTGTGACTTTTATTGACAACTTGATGTTAAAGTTTATTTGAAGAAGTTAGTACCCCAAAATTACCTGGACTTTAAAATCACAGTTTAAAAAAAAGTTAAGGAGGAGTCTTGCCATAGAAAATGTATTTATAATAAATTATATAAGGAAGAAAAGGTGGCAGAGCAAGAATGCAAAAACAGGTCTATATATATGGGAACGTATGGGTAAATATATGTATACATACAAAGTTTGGAATAACATAAAGTTGACATCTGAAATCAAAATGATGAATTTATTAATAATAAAAGGAGCCAGATCAATTGACAATCCATGTGGGGGAAAAAATGTTATATCTTTACTTTGTATTGTACACACACACATTTCAGGAAATGGACTTAAGAACTAAATACAAAAAAGAAAAATGGAATCATAAAAGTCCATAAGAGAACTTTTAAAAATATGCTCAGGGCAAAGGCTTTTCCAAACCATAAAAGTTACATTTGACTACATAGTACCTTAAGATTCCCTGCAAAGAAAGACAAAGTTTAAGAGACGAATGATAAACTGGGAGAAAATATTTATGTAAGATATAAAAAGATTCTACAAATTAGAAAATAAAAAAACAATTCAATAAGATAAAAACACAAAAAGCTAGCAAAGGCTATGAATAGGTAGTTTACAGATACAAGTACAGGAGCCCAGTAAGTATTTTTCACCTGTGATTATTAGCAAAAATGTTAAGGTTTGCCGTATTTAGCATTGGTGAGAATACAAGGAAATGGACACTTCTCTATGCCAATTAAGGAAAGATGATAAATGCTTTGAAGAGCAATTTGGCAATATTCCTTACAGTTGAACATGCTTATTAGTACCTTCCCTCTAACATTTCTACTTCTAAGAATTTTTCCCAAATAACATTTGCACAATTGTTCCAAAGATACATATGAAATATTAATTGTAATATTATATGTAATAGCAACAAAGAGAAAATTACCCTGAGCCCATGTTAGTCATTAAAAGGAATATGTAGCCAATAAAAGGTTTGAGTTAGAGCTATATTTACTAACTTAATAAAATGCCCACAAAGATAGCAGTGTTAATGAATAAAGCAAATTGCAATATATGTATGTACTATAATTGCATCTTTGTAAATTTAGTATTAATAATCATTTATATATTATATCTTTTTTATTATTGAAGGATGGACAGTAATTCTTGGGGAGGGCTTTAGCTTTCTACATTATATATTTCTTTATTTTAATTTTATATAAACTGAATTGCTTTTATATTTAGAAAAAATTTATTAAATACATTTAAAAAGAGAAAAACCTCATTGCTCGGAATAGTCATAAATTAATTTCAAAATCGGATTAACCTAATACATCACATAGTTAGATATGGAAATATTTTCTATATAGGCTTTAATATATACATATTATTTAGAAACTGTTTTCAAAGTCAGTTCCTTAGTTTAAGGGGAAAAAATGAAGATATTCTATAGCTTCTCTTAATAAGGTTAATACCTAAACCTCCCAGTATCAGTGCTTCTAACTACAATAAATGAATTTTCTTCTTCTTCTGTGTGTGTTTTATTATCTTCAAATTCAAAAATTCCAAGAACACATTACCTTATAGTGCTCCTTTCTAATATAATGCTCTCAGATAAGTACAGAATCAGAAATCTATGAAGGAATTATAAACATTTATTAGGCACCTTGGGAGTGAACAAAATTGCATTTTACTAAGATAAGCAGAGTCCAAGAACATGCTAACAATGTAGTCAGTTCTCATCAAATACACAAATATTGAACACTAAGTTTGCAAGTCACTAAACATCTCAGTAATACTACAGATGTTTTTGATAAATTGTGACATTCATTTTTGAAGCAAGGTGACTAAAATGAGGAACCTCTACTTATTTGATTTTTCCTTCAGGTGGATGACGCAGAAGAGCCTGACAAAACGGGGGAAAGTAAAGCACCCAGTAAGTTCCAGTCCGTAGGAGTGCAAGTAGAAGAAGAGAAATGGTGAGTCCATATGCATTTGTCCTCTCGCCTTGATATTGGCAAGTATGGTGCAAGTATTTTTCTCCCTAATAAACATACAAAAGACAATGATATTTTCCATTAACTTTTGAAAGCCTTTAGAGGGGAAGCTTAAATCAGTATCAATGACTCCCTCCTCTACTTTAATACTGGAGACCACTTTATTTAAGCTTTAACTAGAGTAGTAGAGTGAGCGCACCACCGTCACATGCACACAATGATATGCTGTGATGCCAAACTATTCCTCTTCAAAATACCTTCCCTTTTTGGACTGTGTAGAATTTTTAAGAGAAGAAGGTGTTTTCCCATTTTTATTCCTAACACTTAATTGTGTATGTCATTTAGTATACACTAATGAATGATTGAGAATGAATGAATAAATGAGGAGGAGGAAAAAGAGATTTCTTGTCATTATCCTGAATACCCAGTTCCTTTAGATTGCTCTTTAAAATAAGCTTACTCTACAGACTTAAAACCTAGAATTGGGCAATTTAGTTTCAGGGGGTCACAGAAGCCAGGAGCTGGAAGGGACTTCTGAGATCAGTATATTCATTTTAGAAATGAAAACAGAGAGGTATGAGTTTCTCAATCAAACTATGAGGTCCATAATGGATGAAATTATGTCTTACTGGTAGTAATGTTCCCAGCTCCAGAACTATGCTTTGCACTTGCTAAGTATACAGTAAATGTTGCCAAATGAAATAAGATCACACTTACAATACGAGGAGCTCTGTATTATAAATCAGGGTATCATTTCAAGTTTTCCACCAACTTTTTGTGTGTCAATTAGGAGGAATCAATTGGATAGCATCCATCCACCCATTCAATACCTATGGAATGTTTCCTGCATGCGAGGCTACATGTAACATAAACTTACTATCTGAAAATAAGTCATGCATCAGATCATGGAAGGGGTTCTATTTTAAAGCTGCCTATATTGACACTGCATTTGCATCTAAGAGGTTTTCTATATATGTATGTATAATATTTTAATATATTTCATATAATTATACAATGCTGGAAGCTCAGAAAATTGGTGCAGCCCTTTTGGGTTACCACTATATCATATTATATCACTAATATGATAAAAGTCACTGGTAGTTATACATCTACCCATACCCATTGACCCAGTAAACACATATATAAGGCTATCCTGAATGAAATTACTCAGTGGAAGGAAACAGTTGTGGAATATTATCTATCATTGTAAAGGAAATATATTCATTTTAAATCTTGAACAATAGAATACTTTTGTAAATGTTAGCACATCACCAAGGTAGAATATTATACAGCTATTAAATGTAATTTGTAAAAAGAAGATACAGACACATGGGGAAATACCCATGATAAAATGTTAAGTGAAGAAGTTGAATACATAATGTCCATGTATAACATTCATGAAGATGGACAAGGACTGAAACGTAATCTGTAAAAATGGTAGGCTTAGGAGTGATTTTTTTTTTACCCTAAAATGTTTACATATACCTACTTCAAGTTTTAGTTATTATTATTTTCTAGCCAACTCTTGAGGCACATGTTTCTTTAAGTGTTTTGGAAAACTTTTTGAAAATGGAACTTAGGAGACATGAACAATATGGTAGGAAAACATTCCTCTCTCCCCTCCAGCCCATCTTGCTTGTTTGGTGGTTAGAAGGACAGACTCTTGAGAATCAAACCAGTTTTAACCAAAGACCAGCTGGGAGCCCTTGGTCAAATTACTAAATATCTTTGTGCCTTGGTTTCCTAATGTGTAAAAGGGGGATAATAGGTGGTTTCTGGTCCAGCAGGTAAGGAACTGAGAAGACACACATCTGTCCTACCAAGTAAAAGGCTGAACAAACTGAAAAAGCAAAAAAATCTTAAATCAGTCAGATTAGGGAGGTCACAGGGCAAACCACTGCCCCCAAATTGGAGAGACAGACATAAATACAGAAAATCACAACTTACCAGAGTAGAAACCCACAAGCAGAAACCTCCATGGGAACCAGTGCCGGGGTAGGAAAAGCTCAGGTGCAATTGATGAATCACTGGAGGCTCAGTGGGCACGAGTCTGAGAGTCAGACATTTAAGGGGGACCCAGTTATAGGTTGAGAGCCTCCACAGTTCTGAGTTTTACATCTAGGAGTGCTACCAGGTCCTCACAGTGAATATTGGAGAAAAATCCCCTGTGCTTCTAGCAGGAGGAGAGGAAAAGCATTTTGAAATATTCCAGAGCTTTCTGTTCTTAACAAGATCTGCCCTCAAGAGAAACTAGTTTACCCAAGCCTCTCCTGCTGGGACTTTGTCATAGCCTAACCTACCTGGGGGAAAGGAAATACCCGACTTAAGCTCCCTCTAGCCATCCTGTCCACATAAAAGGGTAGAAACTGGGAAGCACCGTTGAAGTTCACAGTCCAAGGACATGGGCTCACCAAGACTGAGACCTACTCAGTCAGAATGCTACCCTTCCCCCAGACCTCACCACCACATTACTAAAGAACAATTCCTTTTACCCAGGATGATATGTCTGGTTTTCTACAAGGTACTAAAAGGTGAAAAACAGTTTGAAGTGACTGAACAACCATCCAAACTAGTGTGAGTATGGCATGAATACTGGACTTACCAGACCAGGAACTTTTTTAAATTGCTAAGGGCAATATGATGAATATGCTAAGGGATTTAATGGAAAAAGTTGATAACATGTAAGAACATATGGATAATGTAAGTGAAGAGATGGAAATTCCCAGAAAGAATTTTTTTTTAAAAATGCCAGGGATCAAAAACACTGGGACAGGAAGAATGCCTTTCAAGGGCTCATTACTAGACTAGTTACAGCTGAGGAAAGAATCTCTGAGCTTGAGGATATAAAAATAGAAACTTTCAAAACTAAAAAGCAAAGAGACAAAAATCTGAAACCCCCTTCCAAAAACCCAGAATATGCAAAAACTGGGGACAGTTATAGAAGTTGTAACATACACATAATGGGAATACCAGAAGGAAACCAAGAAGAACAGAGCAATATTTGAGACAATAATGACTGAGAATATTAATGTCAGACACCAAACCAGAGGTGCAGGCCTCAGAAAAGACCCAGTAGAATAAATGTCACACTCAAAGAAAATCAAAAGGAAAAAAATACTGAAAGAAGCCATAGTGGAAAAAACACCTTTCCTACAAAGGGTCAAGATAAGTATGACATGTGTCTTTTCCTCAGAAACCATACAAGTAAGAAGAGAGGGGAGGGAAATATTTAATATCTGAGAGAAAATAAACCCACTGACCTAGAATTCTATACTCTATGAAATTATCCTTCAAAATAAAAGAGAAATATAGACTTTCTCAGACAAACAAAAATTGGAGAAATTTGTGCCAGCAGACCTGTAGACCTGCCCTATGAGAAATATTAAAAGAAGTTCTTCCAAGAAAAGGAAAATAATGTAGGTACGTGCACTGCTCCTGGAATGGTATAGTATGAACTTAGACTAGCTGTAAATGTGTTTTGCAAACTCTAGGGCAATCGCTAAAAAGAATGAAAAAAGAAGTATAACTAAGTATAACTGGTATGCTAAGAAAAGCAGGAAAATGTGTGGAAGACAAAGATAGGACTAGGACAAAACAAAAGAACTAGGGCAAGAATAGAAATCAGTGACAAATATAATAGTTGTTAATCCAACAATATCAGTCATCATTTTAAACATCAGTGGTATAAATACACTAATTAGATAACAGAGATTATCAGAGTGGATAAAAAACAATATCTTGTTTATAACAGATCTACTTCAAATATAAAATTGCATGCAGATTATAAGTAAAGGGATGGAAAAAGTTATACCATACTAACACTGCTTTTAAAAAAAGGGTGGGAGTAGCTATATTAATTTCAAGTAGATCAGACTTCACAGCAAGGAAAGTTATCAAGGATAAAGAGAGGCATTACATTGTGATAAAGGGATCAATTCTCCAAGTAGATAAAATAACCCTAAGTATTTATACAAGAGCATCAAAATACATGAGGCAAACCTGGTAGAACTGCAAAAAGAAATATATAAATCCACTATTATAGTGGGAGACTTCAACACCACTCTATCAGAAATGGATAGGTTCAGAAGACATAAAATCACTAAAGCAATAGTTGAACTCAACAGCACCATCAATCAACTGAATATAATTGACATCTCTAGATTACTTCACCAAGCAACAACAGAATACACATTCTTCTCAAGCTCACAACATTCACCAAGAGAGACCACATTCTGGGTCATAAAACACATCTCAACAAATTTTAAAGAATAACAGTTATAAAATATCTGCTCTCAGACCACAGTGAAATTAAACCAGAAATCAGTAATAGATAGATAGCTGAAAATTCCCCCAAATACTTAGAGATTAAACAATACACTTCCAGTACACATAGGCCAAAGATGAAACCTCAATAGACATTTAAAAATATTTTGAACTAAATGAAATGAAAATATAGCTTATTGAAACTTATAGGGTGCAATGAAAACAGTACTTAGAGGGAAATTCATAACATTAAATGCATATATTAGAAAGGAAGATCTAAAATCAATCACCTGTGTGTTTACCTTACCAAACTAGAAAAAGAAGAGCAAATTAAATCCAAAGTAAGCAGAAGAAATGAAAATAAAAATTAGAGCAGATATTAATGAAATTGAAAACAGGAACTCAATAGAGAAAATCAACAAAACCAAAACTGGTTCTTTAAAAAGATCAAACTGATAAGCTTCTAGTCAGGCTAACTAAAAAAAGAAAAAGAGAGAAGATACAGATTACTAATATCAGATGAAAGAGATGACATCATTACAAATCCCATGGACACTGAAAGGATACTAAAGGTATATTATGAATAACTCTACATCTATACACTTGATAAACTAAATAAAATGGACCAATTCCTTAAAATACATTCTACCAAATCTTACACAAAAAGAAATAGATAATCTGAATAGGCCTATATGTATTAAGGAAATTGAATCAATAAT